TATGAACACAAAAGGGATCTTATACGCAACAACTTATCAAATGCATTAGTTATACATAGAAATAAATTTAACCACACAACTTTAGTCTAAATCAGGTTTTCTCAATCAGGATCCACATGGGTCCTAAGGGTCCATATAATATTTCTGGGGGTCCACAGGCAAAATATAACCAATTGGGGGTCCACAATGATATTTTGGCGGTTCATGAAGAAAGCCAATTCAGAATGATTTTTATTATTAAAATAAAGCACAGTACGTTATTGCTTTTCCAACAACTTGTTGAATCGGGATTTAGTCGTGTTTCGCAACTGTTATCAAAAGTTCGCAATAGACTTGACATTGTGAAAAGAGGTGGTCTTCGACTGTCATTAACATCAATGGAACCAGATATAAAGAAACTCGCTGAGCAGCATCATCCACAGAGATAGCATTGAATAAATATGCCTTTCTTTTTCTAATCACTCACTAAGATTGGTTTAAAATTTTTAACCAATGTGCATAAATATATGCTGCAGTGAATTAATTTACCTGAAGAGCTCTGCTCCCCTTGGGTTTGACCATGGAAGAAACATTGTAATATTGTAATAAAAGATATTGGTCAATAAAAATTATTATTACTATAATTATTAGTAGTAGTAGTACTATTATTATTATTATTATTATTATTATTATTTTCTTTGATTTCTGGCGTTTACACATTTCTTTCCGGGTCCCGCCCAGGGACCTAAGTTTAGAAAAGGCGTCATGACACTTTCCACTGACAAAAAAAAAAAAAAATTACATAGATAAAGCCCTTCGTAAAGTGTGGGCTGTACTTGTCAGAACAATTTTTTGTATCTCCTTGAGGCATGGACTTCCAGGAATCCCTTCAATTAGTCTACTGCAATCTTTTCCAATCAGCCCTAGGGCTCCAACTACAACAGTGATTGTTGATGTTCCCATATGCCACATTTTCAAGATTTCTATTTCATGGTCCTTGTAGTTTAACAACTTTTTGAATATCTTCAAAGATACATTGCAGTCAGCAGGGACTGCCATATCAATAAGGAGGCACCGTTTTTGTTTGTGCTCTTTAATAACAATTTATTATTATTATTATTATTATTATTATTACTATTATTATTATTATAGAATAATTTATTTGCATTAAATTAGTTTTCATTTAAAAATAAAGATTAATTATATAATATTTCTTTGCTTATTAAAACCTCAAAATTTTTAGAGAAAAATAGAATATTGCTGTCTTATGTCAAGTAGCTGTTAAGGGTTCCACCAAGAAAAAAAGATGAGAAAAAGGGGGCCATGGGTAAAAAAAGGTCGAGAACCACTGGTTTAAATAATACCACACTTAAGTAATTTACTTAGATGGAAAATTCTCGAGATTGGCGCTATAGAATCTTATCAAAATATAAATCTGCCTCCTGTATTTTTTCAAATATCTTCATTCCTGAAATAATTATTTCTCTTCCAAACCACCATAGATGACTATAAAAATGTTAAAAATTAAAAGAAAACTGTTTTCATAACCAACTGGTATTTAAAAAATATATTTAATACATAAATTTATCCTATACTAAAATCATTTAAATATTCATTGCATATAAAACTTAAAGAACACCTTTTACTAACTTCAAATCACAAACTCTGCGGAATTTCAAAACCTCACATTACGAAACTTCTCACTTTAATTCCGATTCCTTGGCATTTTGAAGAAATAAAATCGATTTCCGCAATTCACAAAGTTCTGGGGATATCTTAAATTGAATTTAAAACAACTATTTTTTAAATTCACAAAGCTTTTGTTTTGCTTTAAACTCAATATAAAGTAAAACATTTAAAATCTCTATCTATAAAAGGCAGGATGTGTGTGTGTTTCTAACGAATGCACAGCCGCAATTTTCGACGGATTTGCACCAAAATTTACATGCACATGCTCCAAGTTAGCGGGAAAGTCAAGACCGACTTTGCATTTCCCAACTCCCATCGATAGTAGAAATAATCGATTTTTCATGCTTCTACGGCAGTTTTCATGTAGTTTACGGTCATTTTGTACTGGCCAGAGTGAGAGCCTATAGCTGGCTGCTACGAATAGGCAAGAAGATTCTACTGACCAGCGTGAGAGCCAACAGCTGACTGACACGAATGTTAACTAGCATGCAAAAAAAAATCGATAGCTGCATTCGTCACAAGTGGGAAAAATTTAAATCTGCATGGCACTTTACTCCAATTGGCTCATTCGCTTGCTTAAACTCAACGTTGATTCTGATTCCGTAGAACTGGGTTGGGTGTGAAAAAGTATTTGTTGTTAACATTCTTTTTTCATTCGGTTTTTCCAGTTACGAGTCCTTTTTTAATGCTGATCGTTTTGTGTTCATTTTGTTTAGTTCTTTCTTCGTAACAGATTTAATGTTTAGTATAGAGCTTAGAAAAAATTCGCAGTGTGAGAAGTAAGGCATGTAGCAACATCAGCACGGCAAAGGGCACTCCTCTAAAGGCAAGGAAGGGAAAAAATATTTTTTAAGTCAAGTGATAGCGATTGCTGTATGAGTCGTACGATTTTTGAATCAAGCACGGGCAACGCCGAGCCATGCTGCTAGTCACTAATATTGTTCAGTTAATTTGAATTTTTAACTGTTCCCTCTTCATCCTGACACAAATCCCAATGCTGGATGTTCAAGCACCAGATGAAGGGCAAATTTTCAATCCCCGGATCATCCTGATTCCAAAAAGGGATGTGCCTATGTAGAGCAAGGGGAGGCACGGTGGATAGCGGCTCAGATTGAGGAATCGGAGAGCCGAGTTCGAATTCCAGTCAAATCCATTCCATTCACTTGGGAAAGGTATGACTCCTCTTCTTCTCCACCCAGCAACTGGTCTACTGCAGAATGAAATGGCAACCTACTGCGGGAAAAAATCTGCCGAGTCAGTCATGTATGGAAAGGTACATGATCGCCTAAGCATGTATCACGCATGGCACTGAGAGCAAGTGTAGTCAGAGTTAGAGGGGCTTCAGACACACGTACGGAGAGAAAGAATTTGCCATTTATTTTAGATTATAAACCTTTACTAAATTATATTGTTTAAATTACTTATTCAGTGGCATGAATAATTGTACCGTATATTCTTTTACGGGCGCATTTTCAGATTTATAGAAAAAGCGTTACGTGTCGTAGAGTTTTTGTTTTATTTAATATTGTTTCAGTATAGTCGATTTCTTACTTTATTATTAATCTTTCAAACATTTTCAACAACAACAACAATAAGAAAAAATGTTCTCATATATACTGAATATGTAGATTTTTATATACAGGATGACAATAAAGTCACTATGCAGTTTCTCACGTTGTAGAAAATGCAATGAAGCTGGTGACTTGCAGTTCGAACAGTATCGGTAATTAATTTACTATTGTTTACCATAGAATTTTATTGTTATTATCCAGAATCATTTTAAGAATAGATTTCTGGACTGTTGATTAATTGCTTTGTCTTAATTGTTATTGTAAGTACATGTATAGTGACTTTATTGCCACCCTGTATGTGTATCTATAGTAACGGTTTTTTTTTTTGGGGGGGGGGTATAAAAAACACGGTCAGCACGTTGTGGCCGTGTTCATATTCAGTTAAAAATTTAAAAAAACTTTGATAATGGCTAATAGAATAGCCGAAAGCGCTTGGATATGTTGTATATTTGGAAAGATGTTACACACTTTATGCCCAGAAAAGAAAACATTTGTACAAATGCAAGAAAACTGGAATAAAAAGCATAATTGCAGCACCTTATCAGTCGTCTTTAATTAAACTTACATATATATATATATATATATATATATATATATATATATATAATGTAACCCGGATATAAGAGACTTGTCGAGACCGGAGAAGAAGTCTCTTATATCCAGGTTTCTCTTATATCCGGGTTTGGTCTATTTTGTTTAGGTAAGTATGAGCTCTAGTTTGGGACCAGAGAAAATCTCTCTTATATCCGGGTTTCTCTTATATCCGGGTCTCTTATATCCGGGTTACACTGTATATATATATATATTCGGATTACTAACCCAAAAACAGAGAATGTCTCATATCGAGAATATTTAACATTGAACATAAGGAAAAAATTAATTATTTTTAATAATATGTGGAAATCTCCCTTTTACCTGAAGACGGTCGCGAGACCAAAAACACGTGTCGTAAAATTATGTAAAACAAAGCATAATATTTTTCTAAATAAATCCACATTACAACTAAAAACGTTTGCGGCACCTCTCTTCTCTTTTTTAATATACATACTTTTCTCTCGTTGGAACCACTATAACCTCTTTTTTTTATATATATATATATATATATATATATATATATATATATATATATATATATATATATATATATATCTGTGTGTGTGTGTCTGTGTATGTGCGCGCGCCCATAAAATTAACACCAATATCATTTATTATAATTATTAGTATCATTACCCAATATAATTCTGTCATTATTATTATTATTATTATTATTATTATTATTATTATTACTGACACTTGTTTGCAGATTGTCAACTTCCTGGATCGCCTCGACTGATATTTTAAAAATTTCCGTTTGCTTTTCAGCCGATGGTGGGATCGATCGTTTTTATTTGCTATTATCAGGGTAATTGATTTTGTTGCCTTTTATCAACCATTGCTGGCGAGCGGCGATGGTAGTGGGGTGCGATGGTTCGATTAACAAATACAAGTGTCACCGAGGCAACTGAGAGAAACACACACAAAACCTCCTCCGACGGTTTCATCACCTTCGTCATCCGATTGAGGAAGTAGGCTTTTTCCTTTTATTTTTTCTGCCTATCGCAATAGACAGACAGACAGACAGTTTGATATAGATATGTATCTCTCTCACTATCTCTTCTCACTCTCTCTTTTTCTTGAATGCAACCTTTAGTCATGAAACAGACTGTCACCGCTTGATGTTAATTTCGATGTCTACTCTTAGACATTCCCAATCCCTGATACTGAGAAATGCTACCCATAAATATAGCATATTTGAAAATGATATTTCTATTAGATAGATAGATAGATAGATAGATAGATAGATAGATAGATAGATATGAATAGGCTCTAATAGATAGATAGATAGATATATAGATAGATAGATAGATAGATAGATAGATAGATAGATAGATAGATATGAATAGGCTCTGATAGATAGATAGATAGATAGATAGATAGATAGATAGATATGAACAGGCTCTGATAGATAGATAGATAGATAGATAGATAGATAGATAGATAGATAGATAGATAGATAGATAGATATGAATAGGCTCTAATAGATAGATAGATAGATAGATAGATAGATGGATAGATAGATCTGAATAGGCTCTGATAGATAGATAGATAGATATGAACAGGCTCTGATAGATAGATAGATAGATGGATAGATAGATAGATAGATAGATAGATAGATATGAATAGGCTCTAATAGATAGATAGATAGATAGATAGATAGATAGATAGATAGATAGATAGATCTGAATAGGCTCTAATAGATAGATAGATATGAATAGGCTCTGATAGATAGATAGATAGATAGATAGATAGATATGAATAGGCTCAGATAGATAGATAGATAGATAGATAGATAGATAGATATGAATAACAGACAGACAGACAGATAGATTGATAGATAGGTAGATAGATATCGGCACCTTGAGACGGTGTAATGGTTAGCAAGCTTGCCTCTGTAGAGCATTTACAACTGAACAGTGAGTTCGATCCTCACTAGGTGCCCCATATTTTCGGCCTTGTGACACATCTAAGCTATGCTTGGAAAATCACTAGATGCATAGCTATGAATATGCTGATATAGATAGATAAGAACATTTCACTTGACGGATTCTTTTGGTTTTTCTGCAGTCTTCTTTTCTGTATATGGGGGTGCGACTGCTTTTAAACTTCTATTTTCATAAATTCGTCTGGCAAGCTGAAAAACCGATTTACGAAATTTCTCTTGTTATAATTTGACATCAGACATTCTTCCACAAGAGATTAAAGGAAAATATATTAAGAAATGGACAAAGTCCGACAATTTATTTATTAAAGACATTTTTATGTTTAACGTTCTTTTTTATAGATACAAGTATTTAAGTAAATGCTCTGTTTATAATAAACAGTATTAAATAACATTTACCGGCCTGAAAATATAGAAAATATTCGTTCTTTGACAGGATTCGAACCTGCATACTATACGACACCGTCATTTACGCTGACGTGCCTTACCGATCGGCCACAAAGAAGCGTTCGGTAGGCAAGGTCGAATTTACTGCTTATAAACTTCAATCTTCCATGAATCTCGTACATTCATAACTGCTCTGGCGTATTAAATGTAAACAAATGACGTCATATATTAAGAAATGGTCAGCGTAAATGACGGTTCCGTATAGGATGCAGGTTCGAATCCTGTCAAAGGACGAATATTTTCTATGAAAATTTCTCGGACATTCAGGCCGGTAAATGTTATTTAATACTGTTTATTATAAACAGAGCATTTACTTAAGTACTTGTATCTATAAAAAAGAACGTTAAACATAAAAATGTCTTTAATAAATAATTAAAAGAAGCAAGCAGAAGACATTTTGAACACTTGTTATGAGTTGCTGTGTTGAGGTACAACGATGGCCTTTTGGGGATATGTTTACATGGATATTTTACCTTGTTTTGGTCTTAAGAACCCGGCCCAAAGTTTGGAAAAGTATTTTTGATACACCCTGTATATATAGTCATCACGCTCAAAAGTAAGCAAACAAAGCCAAACATAAATAAATCTGGCCTCTTTTCCTAGGTCTACACAGCAAAGGAAAGACGATGACGACGAGGAGGAGGAGGAGGAGCGTGCAGCGTTTATTCATCTTGTTTCTCCTCTCCCTTTGTCTTTCATCTTCGGTTCCAAAATTTGGGAAAAATCAAGTATTACCGACGTCTGCTTACACATTTTTGTAAATAAATATAGCTACCATTTATAAATTACTATTTTATAAAAATGAATCAAGATTCTATTTTATTTAATACTCATAGATTTTACGATGAAAATTAAAGAAATAAGATTTCCAATACTATATATATATATAGGTTTTTTTATTTTTTGTTTCAACCTTTGGAAGTAAAGTCTGATAATCCACAGTCCTCTAAAAGGCCGTGGTGAAATAATTTATTACATGGAACCTTAAAGTGGTCTGTTTTTATTTAAATTATTTGCTCTGGATTTACATTGAGCTCTCTGGATTTTATCCTCCTTGGGTTTAGTTTTCTTAAACTAACTAACTAACTAACTATATATATATATATATATATATATATATATATATCCTCCATAGAACACTTTTGTTTTAGTCTTAATTTCAAGCTAATAGATTAAATTTAATATTTTCAATAAGCAAAATACTTTCCTGTATTTCAAAACTAATTTAAATTGACATGTAGGAGTACTTTTAATTGCTAAAAATCGCTTATTTTAGCCAACTGTCAGTGCACTGTAATTCTCTTTATTAAAAAAAATCTTTCAAAAATAAAATACATTTTTTAAACTTTATTTTAGGAATATTAGCTGACTTAAAGTTTAATTAATCTGGCTTGAAACAAATATTACTTTTATTTTATATTATAAAAATATTTTATTATAAATATTATAGAAATATTTATTATATATATTATAGAAATATTTTATTATATATATTATAGAAATATTTTATTATAAATATTTCTGTGATATTTTAGTTTAAAATATCACAGAAATATCACGGGGTAGGAAAAAAAGAAAATGGAAATGAAATAGACAATTCAAGATTGGATCAGAGACAGACAGTAGAAATTTCTGTGATACCTGAGTAAAGAGGGCTTGTAGAATTTGACACCCACAGTACATGCTAAAGGCAAGAGGGGCAGAGGGAAACAGCGAGTAACCTAACTAAAAGCTTGTCTAAATGGATGACAAAACAGTGGTAGAAGGGATAATAACGGGGCAAACATTGCTTACAGCAAAAAATATAGGGATTTGTGGTGAGTCATGATCGCCCATGCCCCGAAGAGAAACAGCACATACAAAATTCGATTCTTACACAGTCCACAAATATCATCTAAGATTAAAATTGCTCACGGCTATATCCTGATAGCGAATTACTCTTTCACACGATTATATGATTGTAGTACTTTTTATTTTCTCTTAAGGCATCATTACTATGGCCTTGTTCCAGACTGAGCAAGACATTAAACAGTAAATTAAATCCTCTGGTTGACATTATGCTTATTGGATTATCTCACGTTGCTAGGACACTTCTCTTAATGTCCACTAGCTGGTCTTGTATAAAGCATTATAAAAGGTAAAGACACAATCTTTTCTCTCTTCTCTCTCTCTCTTCAACTACAGGACACCGTAGGGACAAGACGTGTCTCGTTTTCCCTTCTTCGAGACTTCTTTATTGCCAGCGAGTCACGTGTTGCATCGCATGCAAAAGATACTATCACTGGACTATCTCTTGTTCAAAAAACTCAGGCAAACATAATAATATCTCCACTATAACCTATCAAATTAATATATATATATATACGAGTTGGAATCATATTTTTAAATAAATAATTATATTATATATATATATATATATATATATATATATATATAGAGAGAGAGAGAGAGAGAGAGAGAGAGAGATAGATAGATAGATAGATAGATAGATAGATAGATAGATAGATCCCTCCATCACACGATAACATCCCTTTTCAACATATGGTCAACACCGCTACAAAATGGTAAATTAACGCTGCTGCATACTAAACTGTATATATAACTCATAGATCTATGGTTAGCAAGTAATATTTCATGTGACAAACAGGATTCTTTCTGGGTCCTCCATTACGGTGGTTTGGGGCCAAAGTAAACTTAATAGATGCTATGTCTATGTTCTTGTGAGTTAGACCCTCACTGGGTGTTCCATACAGAATTCAATATTAAATAACCTAACAAGGGCTAACATGTAAAATCAACTTATTCTAACCGACATAACGAATACAGCGCCTGCACAATGTTAGGGAAATCCTAGAAGTGTCTTTGAATTTTTATCAGCTCTTTAATGATTGTACAATCGGTAGGATTTATGAAGTTGTTTAGATGCATTACGAAAAAAATTAATTTATGAAAATAGACATTTTTGACAGCGTTCAGGCACTAGTATTTCCTATGTTGCTCACTTGAACCGTCAAAGATTTCCAAACGACCATACAATGCCATTTTGTTCGATTTACTATCATCTTGTCGCCAAATTTGTAACAGACTGAGTGAAACACGGTGCTTAGGTAAAACACAACAAGCGCTTTTCTTGCAAGATGGAGTACAATAATTGGAAAGGCATGAGTAAAGAGCACTAACTATTTTAGACTTCACCTTTTAACAATACTGTATGCTTCATAATGATGATATTTCATCACTACAAAAACAACCTCTCCACCACAAGCAAAGTGGCAGTAACAGTAGTAAAAAGAACAATACAGACGTATCTTCTTCGTTCCGTGAAAATCCAGTGTTGACGGTTTCAAAAGCTTCTTTTGACCATGAAATGATCGGACGACTATAAACATGTAATCCGAAACTTTAAAGATGGAGTACAAGAATTGAAAAGGAATTTTGGGTATATGAATAAAGAGTAATAACTATTTTATTATTTATTATACTTTAATATCTATTATACTTTAGGTAGTGCTCATACCTGAGAGTTAACAAGTCTCATTTGAAAATGCTCTGAGATTGTTTTTATTGCGATCTTGTGTCAGAATCTTCTAAGCCCGTCTGATTGCACTAATGAACGTGACATCGTTAGCAGTGAAAGTTGTTTCGAATCTCTTATATATGCGACTTTGTTTTACTCATCAGTGGAGAAGGTTGTAATGAACTGTTCTCGGCATAGACAAAACTTATTTCCCATGAACGTATTTGTATCTGACTGATGCTGTAAGCAAAAAAAAATTCAATTACCCGAACCTTTCCTATTTTCCTATTTCAATTTCACTCCCTAAACTACGCACTGCCAATTTCGCTCAACTGCCAGTCATTTATACACCCTGGCCCTCATTCAAACAGAAGTGACAGGAAGTGACATCATAATTCGGATTCGGAATAATTTGACCATCTAAATCTGTGTTCTGATGTTGTGTCCATTTCAATAATTTCGATAATGGCTCCCCATAAATTCTTTTTTTTTTCTTTTATTAACTATGCAATGGCTTCTTGGGATAAATAGTGGCGTGGTTCCTGTTTTTTTATCTATGATTTTGCATTCAGAGTAGTCTTTGTATTAGAATGGTTACCAACCAAGGCTACCCTGTTATTTAACCCCTAGCAGGGAGGAGGGAGAAGCGATAAATCCATACCTTTCCCAAGAGACTAGGCTAGAATTTGAAGATTTTCAGTTTATGAAAATAAAATGAAAGAAATTTATATTTTTTTAAACTTTTCCTATGTCGAATCTTGTCCGATGCCAAATTTTAACGGGTAAGCATCAAAAGTATGACATCCAGTGATTAACGATTTGGGCTTAACCAGTGGTCGGGGAGAATTATAACATGCCCTTTAAGCAGGCATGCCTGTGTATGTGTGTGCGGGGGCGGGGGCACGTCTTTGTTGTACAAATCAATGATTCAGTAGATCGATGATTCAATCTATTGTAGTCATCTGAGTCATTGAAGCTGGGTCAGTTTTGCTTCAAAGTATGGATTGGGCTATTCCAGATTTCTCCCATCTTACGGCATGAACGCCTTTCTTTGTTCCGTTGAAAATACGAATCGCCCGGACAAATGTTCGCCATTGTCTACATTCCTTCTATTTATATCTCATAATTTATCAGCTTTGTCATTATTCAATATGGCTTCTAGTAAGGCATCCCACCGGTTTCAGTAAACCTATCTAGAATGGCTTACAATTAACATTCTTCTATGGGAGTCGATATTTTTTTTCTATCCTAAGTTAGACGTTTTAAATTGATTTTTCCCGTGTTTGTTCATGGATTGATATTTTTACTGTTACAGAAGAGAATATCGTAAAGCAGCGACATAGACTTTGCTACGAAATAAGAATATATTTAAATAACAAAAGGACTAAGATAATATCAAATTAATTAAGTACTAAGCAAAGACAGAATCTACCCTACGA